TCTTTGAGTCTAAATTTAAGCTCTTTCCTATTTTCCAGTCATTGGTAATGCAAGTGGTGTCGAAATTGGCACATCGTAGATCTGGAACGAGCCGATGAGTAATTCTTAATTATAAAATAATCGCGCAATTAAAACGCCTATAATTAAATACGCAGCATTATGTTGCATTATAAGTGTTTTCCTCTTAAAATATCTAAATCTAACTTTATCAGAAGACATTTTAAAGAAAGAAACAACAGCAACTGGTCTCCCAAACATTCGTGTCAAGGATCATGCAATTTGTGTAGATTTTGGTGAATGTTAAGACACATTTTGTAACAGATATGATAAGTGTGAGTAAAATAACGGATATTCTTCCATTGCTAGAAATAACGAAATGAGAAAATAAAACAATTAGATTAAATAAAACAAATTAATCGAGTTGTTCGAATTGGTAAATTCGTGTAATGGGATAAGAAAGACGTCTTTAATCTGAATTGATGTCCTACACGTTGATTTACATAGATAATAAGTTTTGTCGTGTCAACTGTATTTAGTGGGCTTAAGATTAAGCACTTCTATTCTTCTTTGACCCACAAACCCAGTACACTTGAGCTGATTTAAGAAGGATAATGCGCTTGCGTTCGACTTGCTTTAATAGATCGTCTCTCCTTCCCTTTCCAACACCATACACCAACTAATAACAATCCGTATTGTGTAAAACTCCATTTGCATGATGTCGCAATCGTCCGACATAAATTAAACATTGTTGGAATATCGTTTTTTCAAAACAGTAAAGACCCCAAAAATTTGCAAAGAAATTGTGCGTTAATAAACCTACCTTGCACACTTATGGCAAATGAAGGGGGGAGGAATCTGGGAATGGTGTCAAGCCGCCATGCAATTACGCAACATGTTCTACTGGCACGCATGGTCTTCGACAAACAGTTATGACATCACGAGTCTCACAGGTTGCCATCCAGCCATTGGCGAAATTCTCTTCACTTTTATCCGTCGAAAGTGAAATAATGCATAACATAAGATGAGTTCGCTTTCATTACATATCCTACTTTCTGAACGAATTACGAAGTACTTTCGATGAAAGTGGAAATGGCATCAAAGATGAAACTGTGTCAGGACTATATTAGAACCCCACGCACAGTTGGTGCCTGATTCGATTAAATATCAACGAAGCTATTGTTTTGATCGGTAAGACTAATTTATTTAATTTTGGCGCCAAAAACTGCAATTCGCTGTGAGTAGGTGCAGAAATTGATTTACATGACAAATAAAACTGCGATTGGCCAATCGATCTTGCCTTATTAAATCGGATGAAAATTAAAAGTGTTTTTTTGTATTTGTTGATTAAAATGCATTTAATTCAGATACTGCTGGCTTAGTTATGACTAACAACAATTATAACTGACACAACAATATCCTTATTTCAGACAAAGCCCAACCTATAATTAAATTAACAATTTCTCCTTCTATTATTCCATTCATACCTTTTGTTAGGAGTATAATTCACTACTTTGTGCAAAAGTTGTTAAAAGTTTTATTTTTATTGGGGTAATTTGTTTGTAATGATAACAAATCCCACTCACCTACTGACATGGATGCAGCCTGCTTCTCATTGTTCTTTTGGACGATGTAAATGGGTCAAAGCGCCCGTTTTGCGAATTAGGTCACCTACTTCCCGGGCGGACACATGGAATTACATCCAAACATAACAAATAAAAGCTCCGCCAACAGTTTTATCTTGTATGTGTTTTAAGCTGTTAGAAGTTTATTTATTTTACAACTTGTTTGCTGCAATTTATGGAGGTTGCTTTTACATTTTTAAAATTAGATTTTCGCATACTGGAGACGCTTACTAAATAAGAAACGTTATTACCGATACTCATGTTTTATGCATAAACTATCGATATTTTAGGAATTGTGGTTTACTGATGCTAATGGCAAACTTTCGATTATTTACTACTAGTCATTTGAAAACACAATAGAGCAATTTCGGAATCCGATACTCGGACTCAAAGTTGTTTAAAATTTTATTCCCTCCAATAAGTTGTAGGGGCTACTGACGGTAAATGAAATTCAAAACTTCAAATCGGGACATTTTATTGTACCAATTAAAGTTCGGACAAAAAATGAGTCCTGTTAGTTTATGGTCGTAATAAATTTTTATTCGACACCTTTAGCATCAGGTAGGAAATCACGTACCTGATTTTTTCAGGTGAATCTATCGTTTCAAGCATTGCAAATGCAGTGATTTTAGAAAATGTGTAAACCGTTGTTTGATCCTTGAAACTTTGTGATTTTATTACCAATAAAATACATCGATCAAAGTCGCTCCGTGCGAAGAATGGCTTCCGCATCGTGACACGTGTGCAACGAATTCTTCTTTCCCGTCAAAAAAAGACATTCTCATTCAAAATAATGTTTTTTCAGAGATGTTTCCTAATAAACAAAACATGTTTTTGATAATGCAAGTTGTTGCTACATCATTTAGCATTTTTTAAAATTGTGAGAAATATTTGACAGCATAATTTGATGCTTATCTTCGAAAAGTAACGAATGTTTTCACCAAAGGACCTTCTGGTTTTCATAATATCGGCAATAAGTTTGGAAACTATTGTCTGTTACAGTTTAAACGTCCAACTGAAACGGAAATAACGTTGCGTATTTATTTATTTCTGGTTTTTATTATTCCGGGCATGTAGAAATCATCTCGGAAAAGTTTATAAGCGGTTTTGCAGTTTCATAATTGATAATGTTGCTAAACATTTACATTTTGGTATATGAATGGGTATTTATATTTTAGTACCTTAATTTGCTCTGGGTATTAATTTTTTAGTAATTTTCACCCAAAAATTAATGGGTTATTATACCTAATGTTTATAAAACTTTTTTTTAATTAATAATTAATTAATAATTAAAATAAAAGGTCCCAAAATTTGAAAATTATCTACATATTTTGAACGCTTTTTTTTAACTTAGGAAGATTATTTTTTCATTGATACCGATTTTTTTTATTACAATTATAAGGGATTTTAAATTTGTAAAACACAATTTGAATACATGCAGTTGACAAATTATCAAATTTTTTTTAGTGTATCAAACAGTTAGGGATACCTACTTTGGAAGTTTGTTTATTGACTAAAATTGTCTAAAGTGTTTAAAATACAGTTTATTTTGTCAATATTTTAGTAATACATAATACTAATAAAACACAAATTTTGTTACTAACTTTTAATAATTAATTTTCATTCATTAACCCTAGAAATGTTTATAGCTTTTTGAAGAACTACGAAATTGTTAAATTACATAAATTAATGATGCGATCCCCATAAGTCAAGTCGGGTGAGAATTTTTTTAACACTTCTTTGGAGTAAAGAACATTAATTTGTTTTTTTTTTTTTGCCTGGATATTTCTGGAATAACACGTAGTTCTAAAAAAATTTCAAGCAAACATACAGTGTGTTCCACATAACTTTACGAGGCTTGCGCCTAATGTACGCACCCAAATATGTATGTATACAAAATTCACAAAACACTATTAGATACAAAAAATACAGATTTAATTATTTAATTTTTGACAGTGTATAACTAAATCACACAGGTAAAAGTTTTACCTTTCCGACATAGGGTAAAAACACTGTTTTTTCGCCTAAGTGTTTTTCACTTTTACTTGACATTTACCACTCAAACTAATCAGTGTTTTATTAATAGTCATAAACTGTAATTTTTCATAAACAATTATCATTTGTTCTATCAAGAGACGGCATGAAAATTTTTCTACTTTATCTATCTTGATTACTAACTAACTAAAACCGGTGTAATTTTTGAAAAGATGAACAAACTAGAGGAGATTATCCAATTTTTCAAAATTTGTAATCGAGTTCGTATCGGAATATTGATTGCATCCTACAGGCGCAGACCTCGTAAAATTATGTGAAACACCCTGTATATTCTTAATTAAAAAAGATTAAGTACAGTTAATTATTATAGAAAATTGAAATTAAAAATTAAAAAACAATATCAAAAAAGTGAAAAAACTAGCAACGATTAAAAAAAAGAGATTGGCTTCATGTATTTATTCCCTAATCTAAACTCACTCAATTACGTATAGGTAAAACGCCATAATTGTACGTTCATAAGTATAATCGTCACCAAGAATATTTGAGATTGACGTATGCAAAGCTTTATTGGGGGTTAAGCAGCTTTGCGGTCGGCCTTAATAATTTTTCACTGCTGGTGGTACTACCCTGAAGATTTACAAAAGAGCCGTATTCAGGAATTTTTGTGGTAGGCTTTTAATTTATTACAGGCAAACATTTGGGAATTTATATTAATTTAATATTAAAGTGATAATCCAGATTTGTAAAGAAACAATTTCAAAATATAGCTGAATATTAAAATTAATTTAATTTTTTTTATGAAAACCCAAAAACAAATTTCTGTTACGGACCATCTCTTCCTACAAGCCTTTGAAACGTGAACCACCGTGGGGGGTAATCGTCTTATTCTATAATGAGTCTCAAATATTGTTGGTACCAACTATACGTTTATCTATTGAAGGCTTATCACCGCACATGCAGAGCTGCTTCTACTAAATACGGTGAATTTTCAATATGTAATTATTCCTGTTGCATTTACAGGTGTTTTTTTTTTCGACATTGTTTGATATATTTTCCCGGCCGTCAGTATCGCAAGTGGTTTGTTTAGTCTTCAGACCCAAAACAATAAGCAACCTATCGATTGAATCACTTCCCCTGGAATAAATTAACCCTGAAACGTGTCGGGTCGCGTGCGGCAGTGCCGAATGTGGAGCAGCTTGCGGCAGGTAGAGGGCGATCCGGGAAAAGTCCCTAAATCCCGGCATGCGAAGAGCAAGCACATGATGCGTCGGCCCTAAGTGGGTCAGTGGGCCATCCCCTCCAGTTCCCCCACGGCCGTTCTTTCCCCCACCACTCGTCGGTGTGTGCGATGTTGTAAGTGTGTGTGTGTGTGTGTGTGTGTATGACTTCACAACAGCACTAACATAGACCTGGTTCATGGGAAAGTGGGTCACCGGTCCCGAGTCACTTTCACTTATTACATGGGCTCCTAATCATTTTCCATTGTAACCCCGTGCTGACAACACGTCTCTCGGAAGGGGATTCGCTGTTGAGGCGCTCTTGGACGGTCCGCGCTGGTCAGTTTGCTCACTGAACTCCGTCGAGACGGAGGTGTTCCGTTCCACTGTCGGTGCGTGTGTGTTATGTGTGCTTGGATAGCTCCTCCACCGGATTACTCTTGCACTGGAATACTGTGTTGTGTCAGTGTTATGCTTCGGCTTTACCATGCCCCTAAATTTCTTCTCTTTCGTGGTGACCTAACCGAACATAGAGATTCATTCCTCGTTGGTCTCGCTTCTGACTAGTCCTTTAAAACGTGTGACTGTTGTGAAATGTTACTGGACATGGAGAACCACTCGACGTTGTTATCTCTGAATATGTCCCCTTTTAACGCGAATTCGGGGGACTCGCCCGCCGGCGCCCAGGCCTCCAGTCCCATGCCCCAGTACGGCTCGCCCCCTGTCACCTACAACAGCTGCCAGCAGTCCATGGGTCTGCCGCACCACCAGCAATCCATGATGATGTCCCAAAACATGAATAACCTAGACGCGTCTTATATCTTTTCTTCAGGAGCCAGCGCAATTTCCGGCGTCGACATGGGCGCCAGTTACCAGATTTCCGGGCCGGCGACGTCCCTCACCGCCGGAGACCTCCCCGACACGAAGGACGGCATCGAGGAGCTCTGTCCTGTCTGCGGCGACAAAGTCTCTGGATACCATTACGGCCTCCTCACTTGTGAATCATGCAAAGGATTTTTCAAACGAACTGTTCAAAATAAGAAAGTTTACACGTGCGTGGCGGAAAGAAGTTGTCACATAGACAAAACGCAAAGAAAAAGGTGTCCCTACTGCCGGTTTCAAAAGTGTTTAGAAGTCGGGATGAAACTCGAAGGTAAGTGACCAACACGTGCCGGACAAAAACGAGACTCTCTCGTTTCTAAATTGCTCAATTCGGTTGGTACATGCCGTTTACATTACACTTTTACTGCGCAAAATTATCGCAAATAAACAAACAGTCGAATTCGGTAATGTCATAACACAATAAACATTAACCTATTTGTATGTACTTACGATGGATGTACACAAATTCGCCAACTTCTGACCCAAATTCACATTTCTTATTACTATCAAGGACTAGCGCGAAAATGTATAAGGACACGGCGGCTGCTCGTCGCTTTAGAAAGGCTGTTTATTGAATAATAATTAAAATATTATTCGCCGGTTGGAATTTCTTCATTGCTTATTCATTAAGTCGCGAAAAATTCTACATTTATTGGTTTTCGATGTTGATAGAAATAAAAAATAACCATTTTAAAATGCTTCTGCTCCAATACGGATTTATTTGTCTTAAACACTATTAAATTACTAGAGGATACCAGTTTTACTAACGGAATTATTGAACATCTGTCTTTTCGTAAGAATACATATTGTAACAAATAGCAAATGCACGACACGAAATACCATAGCAGTTATTTCAACAACCTATCACTTACAATTATTATTAGGCGAGCTGTGTTCAATCGAAGTTGAGCAAGAATCACATGTACGTCATGTAATATCCAAACAATTTAAAATTGAGCTTTTGTTTGTTGAAAGGCTTTTGCACAAGTTGTAGACGAAATAAAACGATAAAGTAGCAAAATAATGCAAAACCATTTGACTTAAATTTTAGCAAGCAGTAAAAACCTACAACGTATTTTTTATAACCGCAGGTTTAATTGTTTTGGTTTAGAAATTATTCATGCATACACCAATAAAAATTAAAACTAGAATAAAAATTTATATTATTATTTACTACACATGCTACTCGTTTGAAGTGGAACCACCTGTTGATTTATTAAAATATGAAATTAAGTTATTTTGTTGTATTATTGTTGTAATTTCTCTTTTTTTTACTAATACGAGTTTCAATTAAAATCTAAAGAACTGTTATGCCAACAATTTAAGATTTTAATAATTTGTTGTTAGTAGAAGAACACTAATTATGTATTTTAACGGCCAATTTAACCTTTTGTGTAATCTTAAATCACAAAAAAAAATTGTTTATGATCTTTTGCTATTTGTCAATAACACATTTTTGAGATAATCTTATTTTTTTAAGTTCAGAATGCGAGTTCGAAAATCGTTTTAGTTTTTATTTCAGGGATTTTGAGAAAATTGCTAGAAGTTTTGTAAGGGGCTTTTTTGGTTGTAGAGTAGATTTTTATGCAAAATCCAAATTCCCGTTTTTTCTCAGGCTTTTTCGTATAATCACGTTGTTTCAAGTACCAAATTACGAAAATTTGATCTGTCTAATGTCCTCTTACTACGAGGGAAATCATACCACGTAATTTGCATTTTCAGGAAATTTGGATTGTGTAGACTTGGACTGAAAACTAATTTTAGTAAATGAAAAACTGGTTTTTAACATGTTTATACATGAAACAATGAAGGAAGTGCTTGTATGTTAAAAAAAGTTAATATTGTAGGTTATTAATGAGGTACTAGTGTGTAGTACAAAGAACCACCTACTTGTGATCTTTTTGCTGCATAAGAAAGTGCTAACAAAAAGACTCGATAACGTCTAAGAAGAATCATTTTCAGAACTTTCAGTTCAAAATTCTTCTAATGAAAAATTATATTTAAAATTCCCATTAAACTGTAACAACACTGGAAGAGGATTCTCCTGCATAAACAATGTAATTCCTTAAAGTTGCAAGTTTCAGTATCAGTTCAGTAGGTGATACCTTGACATTAAAAAAATTCAACACGAATGTTTGAAGATTAAAAACATGGACTTTTAATGCATTTAAAACAAAAACTAATGATGATAAACTAGGATTTTTTTCCTATTAAACTTACAGAGTAAGTCTGTATTATTGAGAAATGTCGATTTTTTTAAAGCATCTTGAAGGAGAAGATGAAACTTCAACTAGCCCTATTTGTAAGCTCTTTTTTTATTTTATCTTGCCCTCCAATTTGAAGATTTTTAACAATGTATTATTTGCAAAATTTACAGTAGGAGTAGGCTTTTATTTGCATCTCGCATCAAATTTCGACAAAAATAGGGTGTTACTTTAATGTTTTATTAATGAAAGAGTTTACTTATTTTTTAATGCGATTTAGCTCATAATTTTACTGATTTCTTGAGAGTTTTCTAAAATAATGTGAACAAAGCTTGATTTTTCAATTTGCATAAAATTTGCCTTCCGTTCATTGGGAAGGGACATGAAACGGTTTGGTTTTCGACAAAAGAGCAAATCGGTTCGAATATGGATGCAGCCGGTTTTGAAACTAAACGCCTCAATTGTAAAATTGAATAGCAATTCTAATCCAGTTTATCGCACCCGATATGTATGTAGCAGTGTTATTCAAATGTGTATGTGCAAATAGAATCGAACGTGTATTACCTGTAGCAGTAGTTGTATGTGACAGTCCACTATAAATATATCTATCAGTTATCGATTTTCAGTACATTCACTGGGAGAATTTATATCTCCTTCCTTGGAGGCATTATGCCTAACTGCTGTTGTTTAAAGTCCGCTTCATTAGATGTAAAAGTTACGTAATGATTGGTATCAGACAGACGCCATCTGCTCGCCGACTTTTTTGCCAAAAAAGCCGACCGGAAAGAGTAGCATTCGAAAAATAGGAGCTTAGCGCGATTGTGAGGCCTCCATCGTAATAAAATAATCCCGTTTGTGGGTGATGTTCGGGGAGGCGAATCGATAAATTGATCACCACGTGTTGGACAGAAATTGGTCGCGAAACCTAAAATTGTACTCGAAAACTAAACCAAGACAAGCCGATCCAACCTCCTTTCACTTTCATATGCCGTGTGCTTTACCGTACTATGAGATTAGTTTGCTCTTTATCCGGACAGATTCCAAGCGAATTCGCTTTTAAGGTGGGTGCGTTTTTGTTAAAAAAGCATTGGCTAGTTCGGTCGGATATACCGTATTCAGTCCGTGACAAGACATGGCATTTTCAGGGATTTTGCAACCAGCATTTGTTACGTGGGTTACACGAAGAATCAAAACTTATTACGATGAAAATAAATGTCATCGAGTGCTTTCAGTGTGGAGGAATATACGATAGAAAGTTAAATTTATCAACAATTAGAACAATCAACGAAAACTTTTGCTGATTAACTATCGTTCTTGTACTGTTGAAGATTGCAACAGCACGGTATTATTCGCATTTCGAGTGGGCAATCTAGATCACGCATTTTATTTCAAATGTCACTTCAATTAGATTTTAAAAGTACAACAACGACAGACTTCATGAAGATCCAAGCAAAATTGCGCATTTTAATTATTGTTTTACATTTAAATGGCATTCGATTATGTTGAAACCCACGATTTCCTTCTTTCAAATTTATTATTTTGAAATATTTATATCTCAACACTCGATGCACATACCTATTTAAGTACATAATAAAGAAAAACAAAAATTTATTATAATGGTTCTAGATCATTGCAAATATTATGCCGTGTAATAAATTCGATAAAAAATTAATTAATTCAAGTACCTAAATATAATTTATCTTTGAATAGTATAGGTATTTCAACTTTCTTGCTCACCTTGAAGGAGCCTATACAGCTACCCAGACATATACAACTTTTCTAGTTTTTTATTCTTTATTTCCGTTCTATAACACACTGTATACCGCCAATTTTATACAAGTTATTTCGCTTTACGACCGCAAGTCCACGTCATTTCATCAGTTTTACAAACAACAACACATCTAATTCACTAGAACACAATTACCCTACAATTATCACCACAAAACTTTTCAAATTTCAAAAAAACATCTTCAAATCGAAATTCAAAATCAAAATTAAATGAAAAACATCCTGTTTTAACTTATTTTCAAATAATAGGTATATCATTCTATGTTATTTGAATTTATTTACAAAAAATGTTTCAAAAATTTTTAATTGGTTTCGTTATATGACTTTTGAAATTAAGGGAACTGACCATACAATAGGATGAAGTATTTAGGGAGTCATGCAAACAAAAATATATGAGTTAAAAAAAAACCTGTCACAAATAGATATAAAATTTTTTACGTGAAACGATAGAATAGACTTGATTACTAACTACTTTTTTTTAATAATATCAACATTGTTAAAATTTAAGGTGAAATACAAAAAGGGGGCGAAATCATTTTATTTTATTTTTTTTCACTTTGTTTGAAACTGAACTTTAGTTTTTCCTTATGTGAAAAAAATTATGCTGAGGATCATGTCCCATAATTGGGTTTAGTTCGTTTTTCTATTTTTAAATAAGTAGTCAGAATTAATAAAATTGTCATTTAAAGCATTTGAATTTTTCATTCAACACTGTTGATGTTTTGATACACTAAAACTAATGCAGCGCGGTGTAAACAACGAATCTGTTTATCTTAAATCAGTGAGTGTGTGATTTTAACACAATTTTTAATTTGCTGACTTATAAAATATAATTTCACTTCCTATTATAACTCCAGGTTATGATTTAATCTCGAGTGCCTTATTAGCATTATTTCTTTGTTTCACACTTCACGTGTTCCATATTGCCTTATATATTTGTAGAAAATTCGCCCACTATACATTACCGCCTGTTTTACTCCCCCGATATGTCTGATTTGTTTTAATTTGTAACAGTAGCAGCTGCAACAAAGTTGGTAACTGCATACAAATGTTTTTTTCGGAGAATTATTGCAAGAGTAATTTTTGGAAGTAGTTGGTCAAGCGTGTCATTATAACGTTAATATTGCACTAAACCTGAATATTCCTGTGTACAGAATAGCTATCAAAATATTTACATTGTTATACACTTTGTTTATTTTGTGCTTATTATGTGTTTAAAATAACGAACGTTGCAAAATCTTTATTTTATTAAAGCATTCGAATTGAAAATGTTATTGTT